GTGGCTGTCATGTCCTCTAGGGAGACACACACAGTGACACAGTGACACACACACAGAGACAGCCTTGCCTCCCTCCACCGTGATCACCTGTGTGGCTGTCATGTCCTCTAGGGAGACACACACAGAGTGAGACACACACACAGAGACACACACACAGAGACACAGCCTTGCCTCCCTCCACCGTGATCACCTGTGTGGCTGTCATGTCCTCTAGGGAGACACAGAGACACACAGTGACACACACACAGAGACAGCCTTGCCTCCCTCCACTGTGATCACCTGTGTGGCTGTCATGTCCTCTAGGGAGAGAGACACACACAGACACAGCCTTGCCTCCCTCCACTGTGATCACCTGTGTGGCTGTCATGTCCTCTAGGGAGAGAGACACACACACAGAGACACACACAGACAGAGCCTTGCCTCCCTCCACTGTGATCACCTGAGTGGCTGTCATGTCCTCTAGGGACAGACACACACACAGAGACACAGACACAGACACACACAGAGACACACACACAGACACACAGACACAGCCTTGCCTCCCTCCACCGTGATCACCTGTGTGGCTGTCATGTCCTCTAGGGAGAGACAGAGACACACACACAGAGACACACACACACACAGAGACACAGACAGAGCCTTGCCTCCCTCCACTGTGATCACCTGTGTGGCTGTCATGTCCTCTAGGGAGAGAGACACACACAGAGACACACACAGAGACACAGACAGAGCCTTGCCTCCCTCCACTGTGATCACCTGTGTGGCTGTCATGTCCTCTAGGGAGAGAGACACACACACAGACACACACACAGACACACACACACAGAGACAGCCTTGCCTCCCTCCACTGTGATCACCTGAGTGGCTGTCATGTCCTCTACACACACACAGAGACACACACACACACACAGAGACACACACACACAGAGACAGCCTTGCCTCCCTCCACTGTGATCACCTGAGTGGCTGTCATGTCCTCTAGGGAGACACACACAGAGACACACACACAGAGACAGCCTTGCCTCCCTCCACCGTGATCACCTGAGTGGCTGTCATGTCCTCTACACACACAGTGACACACACACAGAGACACACACACAGTGACACACACACAGAGACACACACACAGTGACACACAGAGACAGCCTTGCCTCCCTCCACTGTGATCACCTGTGTGGCTGTCATGTCCTCTAGGGAGACACACACACAGAGTGACACACACACACAGAGTGAGACACACAGAGACACACAAACACACAGAGACACACACAGAGACACACACACAGACAGAGCCTTGCCTCCCTCCACTGTGATCACCTGTGTGGCTGTCATGTCCTCTAGGGAGACACACACACAGAGACACACACAGAGACAGCCTTGCCTCCCTCCACTGTGATCACCTGAGTGGCTGTCATGTCCTCTAGGGAGACACAGAGACACACAGAGACACACACAGAGACACACACAGAGTGAGACACACAGAGACACAGACACACACAGAGAGACACACACACAGAGACACACACAGACACACACACAGACAGAGCCTTGCCTCCCTCCACTGTGATCACCTGAGTGGCTGTCATGTCCTCTACACACACACAGAGACACACACACAGTGACACACACACAGAGACACACACACAGTGACACACACACAGAGACACACACACAGAGACACAGTGACACACACACACACAGAGTGACACACACACACAGACACACAGACAGAGACACACACAGACACAAACAGAGACAGCCTTGCCTCCCTCCACTGTGATCACCTGAGTGGCTGTCATGTCCTCTAGGGAGACACACACACAGAGTGAGACACACACAGAGTGAGACACACACAGAGTGAGACACACACACACACACAGACACAGTGACACACACACAGAGACACACACAGACACACACACAGAGACAGCCTTGCCTCCCTCCACTGTGATCACCTGTGTGGCTGTCATGTCCTCTACACACACAGTGACACACACACAGTGACACACACACAGAGTGAGACACACACACACACACAGACACAGTGACACACACACAGAGACACACACAGACACACACACAGACACAGCCTTGCCTCCCTCCACCGTGATCACCTGTGTGGCTGTCATGTCCTCTAGAGAGACACACAGAGTGACACACAGAGACACACACAGTGACACACACACAGACACACAAACAGAGACAGCCTTGCCTCCCTCCACCGTGATCACCTGTGTGGCTGTCATGTCCTCTAGGGAGACACACACACAGAGACACACACACAGAGTGAGACACACACAGAGTGAGACACACACAGAGTGAGACACACACACACAGACACAGTGACACACACACAGAGACACACACAGACACACACACAGAGACAGCCTTGCCTCCCTCCACCGTGATCACCTGAGTGGCTGTCATGTCCTCTAGGGAGACACAGAGACACACACACAGAGACACACACAGACACACACAGTGACACACACAGAGTGAGACACACAGAGACACACACAGAGACACACACAGAGTGAGACACACAGAGACACACACACACAGACACAGCCTTGCCTCCCTCCACCGTGATCACCTGAGTGGCTGTCATGTCCTCTAGGGAGAGAGACACACACACAGAGAGACAGAGACACACACAGAGACACACACACACAGAGACACACACAGAGACACACACAGACACACACACAGACACACACACAGACACACACAGACACAGACAGAGCCTTGCCTCCCTCCACTGTGATCACCTGTGTGGCTGTCATGTCCTCTAGGGAGACACAGAGACACAGAGTGAGACAGAGAGACACACACACACACACAGAGATACACACAGACACACACACAGAGACAGCCTTGCCTCCCTCCACCGTGATCACCTGAGTGGCTGTCATGTCCTCTAGGGAGACACAGAGACACACACACAGAGACACACACAGACACACACAGTGACACACACAGAGTGAGACACACAGAGACACACACAGAGACACACACAGAGTGAGACACACAGAGACACACACACACAGACACAGCCTTGCCTCCCTCCACCGTGATCACCTGAGTGGCTGTCATGTCCTCTAGGGAGAGAGACACACACACAGAGAGACAGAGACACACACAGAGACACACACACACAGAGACACACACAGAGACACACACAGACACACACACAGACACACACACAGACACACACAGACACAGACAGAGCCTTGCCTCCCTCCACTGTGATCACCTGTGTGGCTGTCATGTCCTCTAGGGAGACACAGAGACACAGAGTGAGACAGAGAGACACACACACACACACAGAGATACACACAGACACACACAGAGACAGCCTTGCCTCCCTCCACTGTGATCACCTGTGTGGCTGTCATGTCCTCTACACACACACAGAGACACACACAGAGAGACACACACAGAGTGAGACACACAGAGACACACAAACACACAGAGACACACACAGAGACACACACACAGAGACAGCCTTGCCTCCCTCCACTGTGATCACCTGAGTGGCTGTCATGTCCTCTAGGGAGACACACACACAGAGTGAGACACACACAGAGTGAGACACACACAGAGTGAGACACACACACACACACAGACACAGTGACACACACACAGAGACACACACAGACACACACACAGAGACAGCCTTGCCTCCCTCCACTGTGATCACCTGTGTGGCTGTCATGTCCTCTAGGGAGACACACACACACAGTGACACACACAGAGTGAGACACACAGAGTGACACACACACAGAGACACACACACAGACACACACACAGAGACAGCCTTGCCTCCCTCCACTGTGATCACCTGTGTGGCTGTCATGTCCTCTAGGGAGACACACACACAGAGTGAGACACACACAGAGTGAGACACACACAGAGTGAGACACACACACACACACAGACACAGTGACACACACACAGAGACACACACAGACACACACACAGAGACAGCCTTGCCTCCCTCCACCGTGATCACCTGTGTGGCTGTCATGTCCTCTAGGGAGACACACACAGACACAGTGACACACACACAGAGACACACACAGAGACAGAGACACACACACACAGAGACAGAGACACAGACACACACACAGAGACAGCCTTGCCTCCCTCCACTGTGATCACCTGAGTGGCTGTCATGTCCTCTAGGGAGACACACACACAGAGTGAGACACACACAGAGTGAGACACACACAGAGTGAGACACACAGAGACACACAGACACAGACACACACACAGTGAGACACAGCCTTGCCTCCCTCCACTGTGATCACCTGTGTGGCTGTCATGTCCTCTACACACACACAGAGACACACACACAGAGACACACACAGACACACACACACAGAGACAGCCTTGCCTCCCTCCACTGTGATCACCTGAGTGGCTGTCATGTCCTCTACACACACACAGTGACACACAGAGTGAGACACACACACAGACACACACACACAGAGACACACACACAGACACACACACAGAGTGAGACACACACACAGAGTGAGACACACAGAGACACACAGACACAGACACACACACACAGACACAGCCTTGCCTCCCTCCACCGTGATCACCTGAGTGGCTGTCATGTCCTCTAGACACACAGTGAGACAGAGAGACACACAGAGTGACACACACACAGAGACTTACACAGAGTGAGACACACACACACAGAGACAGCCTTGCCTCCCTCCACCGTGATCACCTGAGTGGCTGTCATGTCCTCTAGGGAGAGACACAGACAGTGAGACAAACAGAGTGAGACACACAGACAGAGAGAGACACACACACACACACAGAGACACACACAGAGACACACACACAGTGACACACACACAGAGACAGCCTTGCCTCCCTCCACCGTGATCACCTGTGTGGCTGTCATGTCCTCTAGGGAGAGAGACACACACACACAGACACACACACACAGAGACACAGAGACACACACAGAGACAGCCTTGCCTCCCTCCACCGTGATCACCTGAGTGGCTGTCATGTCCTCTAGGGAGAGACACAGACAGTGAGACAAACAGAGTGAGACACACAGACAGAGAGAGACACACACACACACACAGAGACACACACAGAGACACACACACAGTGACACACACACAGAGACAGCCTTGCCTCCCTCCACCGTGATCACCTGTGTGGCTGTCATGTCCTCTAGGGAGAGAGACACACACACACAGACACACACACACAGAGACACAGAGACACACACAGAGACAGCCTTGCCTCCCTCCACCGTGATCACCTGAGTGGCTGTCATGTCCTCTAGGGAGAGACACAGACAGTGAGACAAACAGAGTGAGACACACAGACAGAGAGAGACACACACAGTGAGACACACACACAGAGACACACACAGAGACACACACACAGTGAGACACACACACAGAGTGAGACACACACACAGAGACAGCCTTGCCTCCCTCCACCGTGATCACCTGTGTGGCTGTCATGTCCTCTAGGGAGAGAGACACACACACACACAGTGACACACACACACACACAGAGACACACAGAGACACACACACACACAGACACAGCCTTGCCTCCCTCCACCGTGATCACCTGTGTGGCTGTCATGTCCTCTAGAGAAACAGAGACACAGACAGTGAGACACACACAGACACACACAGTGACACACACAGTGACACAGACACACACAGTGACACACACAGTGACACACACAGAGACACACACAGAGCCTTGCCTCCCTCCACCGTGATCACCTGTGTGGCTGTCATGTCCTCTACACACACACAGAGACACAGACACACACAGACACACACAGTGACACACACATAGACACAGAGACACAGACAGAGCCTTGCCTCCCTCCACCGTGATCACCTGTGTGGCTGTCATGTCCTCTAGGGAGAGACACACACAGAGTGACACACACAGACACAGAGACACACACAGAGTGAGACAGACAGAGTGAGACACACAGAGTGAGACACAGAGACACACACACAGAGACACACACACAGAGACACACACACACAGACAGAGCCTTGCCTCCCTCCACCGTGATCACCTGTGTGGCTGTCATGTCCTCTACAGAAACACACACAGTGAGACACACACAGAGACACACACACAGAGACAGACACACACACAGTGTGAGACACACACAGAGTGACACACACAGAGAGACACAGAGTGAGACACACACAGAGTGAGACACACACAGAGTGAGACACACAGAGACACACACACACAGAGACATACACACAGAGACACACACAGAGACACACACAGAGACATACACACAGAGACACACACAGAGTGAGACACACAGAGACACACACACAGAGACACACACAGAGACACACAGAGACACACACACACAGAGACACTACTATCACTACAGTGATACTATTACAGTGATACTACTATCACTACAGTGATACTATTATCACTACAGTGATACTACTATCACTACAGTGATACTATTATCACTACAGTGATACTATTACAGTGATACTACTATCGCTACAGTGATACTATCACTACAGTGATACTACTATCACTACAGTGATACTATTACAGGGATACTACTATTACTACAGTGATATTACTATCACTAGTGATATTACAGTGATACTATTACAGTGATACTACTATCACTACAGTGATACTATCACTACAGTGATACTATTACAGTGATACTACTATCACTACAATGATACTATTATCACTACAGTGATACTATTATCACTACAGTGATACTATAACAGTGATACTACTATCACTACAGTGATACTATCACTACAGTGATACTATTACAGTGATACTACTATCACTACAATGATACTATTATCACTACAGTGATACTATTATCACTACAGTGATACTATTACAGTGATACTACTATCACTACAGTGATACTACTATCACTACAGTGATACTACTATCACTACAGTGATACTATTACAGTGATACTATTACAGTGATACTACTATCACTACAGTGATACTATTACAGTAATACTACTATAGTGATACTATCACTACAGTGATACTACTATCACTACAGTGATACTATTACAGGGATACTACTATTACTACAGTGATACTACTATCACTAGTGATATTACAGTGATACTATTACAGTGATACTACTATCACTACAGTGATACTATTACAGTGATACTATTACAGTGTTACTACTATCACTACAGTGATACTATCACTACAGTGATACTATCACTACAGTGATACTACTATCACTACAGTGATACTATTACAGTGATACTATTATCACTACAGTGATACTATCACTACAGTGATACTACTATCACTACAGTGATACTACCACTACAGTGATACTACTATCACTACAGTGATACTACTATCACTACAGTGATACTATTATCACTACAGTGATACTATTACAGTGATACTACTATCACTACAGTGATACTATTATCACTACAGTGATACTATTATCACTACAGTGATACTATTACAGTGATACTACTATCACTACAGTGATACTACTATCACTACAGTGATACTACTATCACTACAGTGATACTATTATCACTACAGTGATACTACTATCACTACAGTGATACTATTACAGTGATACTACTATCACTACAGTGATACTACCACTACAGTGATACTACTATCACTACAGTGATACTATTATCACTACAGTGATACTATTACAGTGATACTACTATCGCTACAGTGATACTATCACTACAGTGATACTACTATCACTACAGTGATACTATTACAGTGATACTATTACAGTGATACTACTATCACTACAGTGATACTATTACAGTGATATTATTACAGTGATATTATCACTACAGTGATACTATAACAGTGATACTACTATCACTACAGTGATACTATCACTACAGTGATACTATTACAGTGATACTACTATCACTACAATGATACTACTATCACTACAGTGATACTATTATCACTACAGTGATACTATTACAGTGATACTACTATCACTACAGTGATACTACTATCACTACAGTGATACTACTATCACTACAGTGATACTACTACAGTGATACTATTACAGTGATACTATTACAGTGATACTACTATCACTACAATGATACTATTATCACTACAGTGATACTATTATCACTACAGTGATACTATTATCACTACAGTGATACTATTACAGTGATACTACTATCACTACAGTGATACTACTATCACTACAGTGATACTACTATCACTACAGTGATACTATTACAGTGATACTATTACAGTGATACTATTACAGTGTTACTACTATCACTACAGTGATACTATTACAGTGATACTATTACAGTGATACTATCAGTGATACTATTACAGTGATACTACTATCACTACAGTGATACTATTACAGTGATACTATCACTACAGTGATACCATTACAGTGATACTATCACTACAGTGATACTATCACTACAGTGATACTATCACTACAGTGATACTATCACTACAGTGATACTATTACAGTGATACTATTACAGTGCTACTACTACAGCTACAGTGTTATAGAGTTGTTATTATTATAATAATATTTGAGGCGATTGATCATCAGGGGCATCGTGTTAGTCAGCAGACTCACCGTGATGTGCTGCATCCGGATCAATCACCACCTCGACAGTCTCAACAGGCTTGATGATCTCAAGGATGTTCAGCCTGGGTTCAACGCCTGGACATGGAGAGACAGCGAGAGACAGAGAGAGACAGAGAGAGACAGAGAGAGACAGAGACAGAGACAGAGAGACAGAGAGAGAGACAGAGAGACAGAGAGAGAGAGACAGAGAGAGACAGAGACAGAGAGAGACAGAGAGACAGTGAGAGAGAGACAGAGAGACAGAGAGACAGAGAGAGAGAGAGACAGAGAGATAGAGAGAGAGAGACAGAGAGACAGAGAGAGGCTCTGCTACACCCTGAGTCTCCGCTACACCCTGAGTGTCTGCTACACCCTGAGTCTCTAGACTATGAGTCTCTACTACATCCTGAGACTCTACTACACCCTTAGTCTCTACAACACCCTGAGTCTCTGCTACACCCTGAGGCTCTACTACACCCTGAGTCTCTGCTACACCCTGAGGCTCTACTACACCCTGAGTCTCTGCTACACCCTGAGGCTCTACTACACCCTGAGTCTCTACGACACCCTGAGTCTCTACTACACCCTGAGTCTCTACTACACCCTGAGTCTCTAGACTGTGAGTCTCTACTACACCCTGAGTCTCTACTACACCCTGAGTCTCTGCTACACCTCGAGGCTCTGCTACACCCTGAGTCTCTAGACTATGAGACTCTACTACATCCTGAGACTCTACTACACCCTGAGTCTCTACTACACCCTGAGGCTCTACTACACCCTGAGTCTCTACGACACCCTGAGTCTCTACTACACCCTGAGTCTCTACTACACCCTGAGTCTCTACTACACCCTGAGTCTCTATTACACCCTGAGTCTCTACTCCACCCTGAGTCTCTACTACACCCTGAGGCTCTGCTACACCCTGAGTCTCTACTACACCCTGAGTCTCTACTACACCCTGAGTCTCTACTACACCCTGAGTCTCTACTACACCCTGAGTCTCTGCTACACCCTGAGTCTCTACTACACCCTGAGTCTCTGCTACACCCTGAGTCTCTGCTACACCCCGAGTCTCTACTACACCCCGAGTCTCTACTACACCCCGAGTCTCTACTACACCCTGAGTCTCTAGACTATGAGTCTCTACTACACCCTGAGTCTCTGCTACACCCTGAGTCTCTGCTACACCCTGAGTCTCTACTACACCCTGAGTCTCCACTACAACCTGAGTCTCTACCACACCCTGAGTCTCTGCTACAGCCTGAGTCTCTACTACACCCTGAGTCTCTGCTACACCCTGAGTCTCTGCTACACCCTGAGTCTCTACTACACCCTGAGTCTCTACTACACCCTGAGTCTCTACTACACCCTGAGTCTCTGCTACACCCTGAGTCTCTACTACACCCTGAGTCTCTACTACAACCTGAGTCTCTAGACTATGAGACTCTACTACACCCTGAGTCTCTGCTACACCCTGAGTCTCTACTACACCCTGAGTCTCTACTACACCCTGAGTCTCTAGACTATGAGTCTCTACTACACCCTGAGTCTCTGCTACACCCCGAGTCTCTGCTACACCCTGAGTCTCTAGACTATGAGTCTCTACTACACCCTGAGTCTCTGCTACACCCTGAGTCTCTGCTACACCCTGAGTCTCTACTACACCCTGAGTCTCCACTACAACCTGAGTCTCTACCACACCCTGAGTCTCTGCTACACCCTGAGTCTCTAGACTATGAGTCTCTGCTACACCCTGAGTCTCTGCTACACCCTGAGGCTCTGCTACACCCTGAGTCTCTACTACAACCTGAGTCTCTAGACTATGAGACTCTACTACACCCTGAGTCTCTGCTACACCCTGAGTCTCTACTACACCCTGAGTCTCTACTACACCCTGAGTCTCTAGACTATGAGTCTCTACTACACCCTGAGTCTCTGCTACACCCTGAGTCTCTACTACACCCTGAGTCTCTACTACACCCTGAGTCTCTAGACTATGAGTCTCTACTACACCCTGAGTCTCTGCTACACCCCGAGTCTCTACTACACCCTGAGTCTCTGCTACACCCTGAGTCTCTGCTACACCCTGAGTCGCTACTACACCCTGAGTCTCTACTACACCCTTAGTCTCTACTATACCCCGAGTCTCTGCTACACCCTGAGTCTCTGCTACACCCTGAGTCTCTACTACAACCTGAGTCTCTAGACTACGAGTCTCTACTACACCCTGAGTCTCTACTACACCCTGAGTCTCTGCTACACCCTGAGTCGCTACTACACCCTGAGTCTCTACTACACCCTTAGTCTCTACTATACCCCGAGTCTCTGCTACACCCTGAGTCTCTGCTACACCCTGAGTCTCTACTACAACCTGAGTCTCTAGACTACGAGTCTCTACTACACCCTGAGTCTCTACTACACCCTGAGTCTCTAGACTACGAGTCTCTACTACACCCTGAGTCTCTAGACTACGAGTCTCTACTACACCCTGAGTCTCTACTACACCCTGAGTCTCTACTACACCCCGAGTCTCTACTACACCCTGAGTCTCCACTACAACCTGAGTCTCTACCACACCCTGAGTCTCTGCTACACCCTGAGTCTCTGCTACACCCTGAGTCTCTGCTACACCCTGAGTCTCTAGACTATGAGTCTCTACTACACCCTGAGTCTCTACTACACCCTGAGTCTCTACTACACCCTGAGTCTCTACTACACCCTGAGTCTCTACTACACCCTGAGTCTCTACTACACCCTGAGTCTCTAGACTATGAGTCTCTACTACAACCTGAGTCTCTGCTACACCCTGAGTCTCTGTTACACCCTGAGTCTCTGCTACACCCTGAGTCTCTACTACACCCTGAGTCTCTACTACAACCTGAGTCTCTACTACACCCTGAGTCTCTACTACACCCTGAGTCTCTACTACAACCTGAGTCTCTACTACACCCTGAGTCTCTACTACACCCTGAGTCTCTGTTACACCCTGAGTCTCTGCTACACCCTGAGTCTCTACTACACCCTGAGTCTCTACTAGACCCTGAGTCTCTAGACTATGAGTCTCTACTACACCCTGAGTCTCTACTACACCCTGAGTCTCTAGACTATGAGTCTCTACTACACCCTGAGTCTCTACTACAACCTGAGTCTCTACTACACCCTGAGTCTCTACTACACCCTGAGTCTCTACTACACCCTGAGTCTCTACTACACCCTGAGTCTCTAGACCCTGAGTCTCTACTACACCCTGAGTCTCTACTACACCCTGAATCTCCCCTACTACACCCTGAGTCTCTACTACACCCTGAATCTCTGCTACACCCTGAGTCTCTGCTACACCATGAGTCTCTGCTACACCCTGAGTCTCTACTACACCCTGAGTCTCTATACCCTGAGTCTCTACTACACCCTGAGTCTCTACTACACCCTGAGTCTCTATACCCTGAGTCTCTACTACACCCTGAGTCTCTACTACACCCTGAATCTCCCCTACTACACCCTGAGTCTCTACTACACCCTGAGTCTCTGCTACACCCTGAGTCTCTGCTACACCGTGAGTCTCTGCTACACCCTGAGTCTCTGCTACACCCTGAGTCTCTACTACACCCTGAGTCTCTGCTACATCTTGAGTCTCTGCTACACCCTGAGTCTCTGCTACACCGAGTCTCTGCTACACCCTGAGTCTCTACTACACCCTGAGTCTCTGCTACACCCTGAGTCTCTGCTACACCCTGAGTCTCTAGACTATGAGTCTCTACTACACCCTGAGTCTCTACTACACCCTGAGACTCTACTACACCCTGAGTCTCTACTACACCCTGAGTCTCTACTAGACCCTGAGTCTCTACTACATCCTGAGTCTCTACTACACCCTGAGTCTCTAGACTATGAGTCTCTACTACACCCTGAGTCTCTACTACACCCTGAGTCTCTAGACTATGAGTCTCTACTACACCCTGAGTCTCTACTACACCCTGAGTCTCTGCTTCACCCTGAGTCTCTACTACACCCTGAGTCTCTACTACACCCTGAGTCTCTAGACTATGAGTCTCTACTACACCCTGAGTCTCTGCTACACCCTGAGTCTCTGCTACACCCTGAGTCTCTACTATACCCTGAGTCTCTAGACTATGAGTCTCTACTACAACCTGAGTCTCTAGACTATGAGTCTCTACTACGCCCTGAGTCTCTACTACACCCTGAGTCTGTACTACACCCTGAGTCTCTACTACACCCTGAGTCTCTACTACAACCTGAGTCTCTACTACAACCTGAGTCTCTACTACACCCTGAGTCTCTACTACACCCTGAGTCTCTGCTACACCCTGAGTCTCTACTACACCCTGAGTCTCTACTACACCCTGAGTCTCTGCTACACCCTGAGTCTCTACTACACCCTGAGTCTCTGCTACACCCTGAGTCTCTACTACAACCTGAGTCTCTACTACACCCTGAGTCTCTGCTACACCCTGAGTCTCTGCTACACCCTGAGGCTCTGCTACACCCTGAGTCTCTGCTACACCCTGAGTCTCTACTACACCCTGAGTCTCTGCTACACCCTGAGTCTCTACCACACCCTGAGTCTCTGCTACACCCTGAGTCTCTACTACACCCTGAGTCTCTGCTACACCCTGAGTCTCTGCTACACCCTGAGTCTCTACTACACCCTGAGTCTCTACTACACCCTGAGTCTCTACTACACCCTGAGTCTCTACTACACCCTGAGTCTCTGCTACACCCTGAGTCTCTACTACACCCTGAGTCTCTACTACACCCTGAGTCTCTGCTACACCCTGTGTCTCTACTACACCCTGAGTCTCTACTACACCCTGAGTCTCTACTACACCCTGAGTCTCTACTACACCCTGAGTCTCTACTACACCCTGAGTCTCTGCTACACCCTGAGCCTCTACTACACCGTGAGTCTCTACTACACCCTGAGTCTCTACTACACCCTGAGTCTCTGCTACACCCTGAGTCTCTACTACACCCTGAGTCTCTACTACAACCTGAGTCTCTAGACTACGAGTCTCTACTACACCCTGAGTCTCTACTACACCCTGAGTCTCTACTACACCCTGAGTCTCTACTACACCCTGAGTCTCTACTACACCCCGAGTCTCTACTACACCCCGAGTCTCTACTACACCCTGAGTCTCTAGACTACGAGTCTCTACTACACCCTGAGTCTCTACTACACCCTGAGTCTCTACTACACCCTGAGTCTCTACTACACCCTGAGTCTCTACTACACCCTGAGTCTCTACTACACCCTGAGTCTCTACTTCACCCTGAGTCTCTACTAGACCCTGAGTCTCTACTACACCCTGAGTCTCTACTACACCCTGAGTCTCTACTACACCCTGAGTCTCTGCTACACCCTGAGTCTCTACTACAACCTGAGTCTCTAGACTATGAGTCTCTACTACACCCTGAGTCTCTGCTACACCCTGAGTCGCTACTACACCCTGAGTCTCTACTACACCCTTAGTCTCTACTATACCCCGAGTCTCTGCTACACCCTGAGTCTCTGCTACACCCTGAGTCTCTACTACAACCTGAGTCTCTAGACTACGAGTCTCTACTACACCCTGAGTCTCTACTACACCCTGAGTCTCTACTACACCCTGAGTCTCTACTACACCCTGAGTCTCTACTACACCCCGAGTCTCTACTACACCCCGAGTCTCTACTACACCCTGAGTCTCTAGACTACGAGTCTCTACTACACCCTGAGTCTCTACTACACCCTGAGTCTCTACTACACCCTGAGTCTCTACTACACCCTGAGTCTCTACTACACCCTGAGTCTCTACTACACCCTGAGTCTCTGCTACACCCTGAGTCTCTACTACACCCTGAGTCTCTACTACACCCTGAGTCTCTGCTACACCCTGAGTCTCTGCTACACCCTGAGTCTCTACTACACCCTGAGTCTCTGCTACACCCTGAGTCTCTACTACACCCTGAGTCTCTACTACACCCTGAGTCTCTGCTACACCCTGAGTCTCTACTACACCCTGAGTCTCTACTACAACCTGAGTCTCTAGACTATGAGTCTCTGCTACACCCTGAGTCTCTACTACACCCTGAGTCTCTAGACTATGAGTCTCTGCTACACCCTGAGTCTCTGCTACACCCTGAGTCTCTGCTACACCCCGAGTCTCTACTACACCCTGAGTCTCTGCTACACCCTGAGTCTCTACTACACCCTGAGTCTCTACTACACCCTGAGTTTCTACTAGACAGTGAGACATGGTCTACCCGTGTGGTGGGTCTCAGACCTTGTCTGGATATGACTTGGACGCTTAGCTGGACCATCCCATCTGTCTTCACCCCTTGGTCAAAGAGACTCCGTCCTGGGTCCAACTACACACACACGGCAGGCAGAGGAGGAGAGAGACACGGGGGGGAGGGGGAGAGACACTACACTATACACTACACTATATACTACTACACTACTACACTATACACTACTACACTACACTATAAACTACTACACTATACACTACTACACTACACACTACTACACTATACACTACTACACTATACACTACTACACTATACACTACTACACTATACACTACACACTACTACACTACACTATACACTACTACACTACACTATACACTACTACACTATAAACTACTACACTACACTATACACTACTACACTATACACTACTACACTATAAACTACTACACTACACTATACACTACTACACTATACACTACTACACTATAAACTACTACACTACACTATACACTACTACACTACTACACTATAAACTACTACACTACACTGTACACTATACACTACACTATACACTACTACACTATACACTACACACTACTACACTACACACTACTACACTACACACTACTACACTACACTACACACTACTACACTACACACTACTACACTATACACTACTACACTATACACTACTAACACTATACACTACTACACTATACACTACTACACTATACACTACTACACTATACACTACTACACTATACACTACACTATACACTACTACACTATACACTACTACACTATACACAACTACACTATACACTACTACACTACACTATACACTACTACACTACACACTACTACACTATACACTACTACACTATACACTACTACACTATACACTACTACACTATACACTACTACACTATACACTACTACACTATACACTACTACACTACTACACTATACACTACTACACTATACACTACTAAACTATACACTACTACACTATACACTACTACACTACTACACTACACTATACACTACTACACTACACTATACACTACTACACTACACTATACACTACTACACTATAAACTACTACACTACACTATACACTACTACACTATAAACTACTACACTACACTGTACACTATACACTACACTATACACTACTACACTACTACACTATAAACTACTACACTACACTGTACACTATACACTACACTATACACTACTACACTATACTATACACACTACTACACTACACTATACACTACTACACTACACACTACTACACTACACTATACACTACTACACTATACACTACTACACTATACACCACTACACCATACACCACTACACTATACACTACAACAGAGTGGTGGGTGGGCAAACAGAGGCAACCTGGATGTCCTGCAGACAGATGTGGTGGTTTTCGAGTGAGCATTGCAGCCGAGGTTCCAGAAGCTTCTTGAGGTTCTCGATGGGCTCCCCGATGTCAATGGACTGGCTCACAAACTCCGCCACCTGCCCACACAGACTGGGGGTGGGGGGAGGGGCATGGGCAGAGGGGGAGGGGCATAGAGGAGGGGGGAGGGGCATAGAGAAAGGGGGAGGGGCACAGAGAGGGGAGAGGGGCACAGAGAGGGGGGAGGGGCATAGAGGAGGGGGAGGGGCATAGAGGAGGGGGAGGGGTACAGAGAGGGGGGAGGAGCACAGAGAGGGGGGAGGGGCATAGAGGGGAGGGGCACAGAGGGGAGGGGCACAGAGGGGAGGGGCACAGAGGAGGGGGAGGGGCACAGAGGGGGGAGGGGCACAGAGGGGGGGGAGGGGCACAGAGAGGGGGGAGGGGCAAAGAGGGGAGGGGCACAGAGGGGGGGGAGGGGCACAGAGGGGGGAGGGGCACAGAGAGGGGGAGGGGCACAGAGAGGGGGAGGGGCACAGAGAGGGGGAGGGGCACAGAGAGGGGGAGGGGCACAGAGGGGGGGGAGGGGCACAGAGGAGGGGGAGGGGCACAGAGAGGGGGGAGGGGCATAGAGAAAGGGGGAGGGGCACAGAGAGGGGAGAGGGGCACAGAGAGGGGAGAGGGGCACAGAGAGGGGGGAGGGGCACAGAGAGGGGGGAGGGGCACAGAGGGGGCGGGGCATGGGGGGTAACGGCCATTGTGATACCCACAGACACGGCCATTGTGATACCCACAGACACGACCATTGTGATACCCACAGACACGGCCATTGTGATACCCACAGACACGACCATTGTGATACCCACAGACACGGCCGTTGTGATACCCACAGACACGGCCGTTGTGATACCCACAGACACGACCATTGTGACACCCACAGACACGACCATTGTGATACCCACAGACACGGCCATTGTGATACCCACAGACACGGCAATCGTGATACCCACAGACACGGCCATTGTGATACCCACAGACACGGCCATTGTGATACCCACAGACACGGCCATTGTGATACCCACAGACACGACCAACGTGATACCCACAGACACGGCCATTGTGATACCCACAGACACGGCCATTGTGATACCCACAGACACGGCCATCGTGATACCCACAGACACGACCATTGTGATACCCACAGACACGGCCATTGTGATACCCACAGACACGGCCGTTGTGATACCCACAGACACGGCCATCGTGATACCCACAGACACGGCAATCGTGACACCCACAGACACGGCCATTGTGATACCTACAGACACGGCCATTGTGACACCCACAGACACGGCCACTGTGATACCCACAGACACGGCCATCGTGATACCCACAGACACGACCATCGTGATACCCACAGACACGACCATTGTGATACCCACAGACACGGCCATTTAGGTACCCACAGACACGGCCATTGTGATACCCACAGACACGGCCATCGTGATACCCACAGACACGGCCATTGTGATACCCACAGACACGGCCATTATGATACCCACAGACACGGCCATTATGATACCCACAGACACGGCCATTGTGATACCCACAGACACGACCATTGTGATACCCACAGACACGGCAATTGTGATACCCACAGACACGGCCATTGTGATACCCACAGACACGGCCACTGTGATACCCACAGACACGACCACTGTGATACCCACAGACACGACCATTGTGATACCCACAGACACGGCCATTGTGATACCCACAGACACGGCCATTGTGATACCCACAGACACGGCCATTGTGATACCCACAGACACGGCCACTGTGATACCCACAGACACGACCATTGTGATACCCACAGACACGACCACTGTGATACCCACAGACACGGCCATTGTGATACCCACAGACACGGCAATCGTGATACCCACAGACACGACCATTGTGATACCCACAGACACGGCCACTGTGATACCCACAGACACGGCCATTGTGATACCCACAGACACGGCAATCGTGATACCCACAGACACGGCCATTGTGATACCCACAGACACGGCCGTTGTGATACCCACAGACACGGCCATCGTGATACCCACAGACACGGCCATTGTGATACCCACAGACACGGCAATCGTGATACCCACAGACACGGCCATTGTGATACCCACAGACACGACCACTGTGACACCCACAGACACGGCCACTGTGATACCCACAGACACGGCCATTGTGATACCCACAGACACGACCATTGTGACACCCACAGACACGGCAATCGTGATACCCACAGACACGGACATCGTGATACCCACAGACACGGCCATTGTGATACCCACAGACACGACCACTGTGACACCCACAGACACGGCCATTGTGATACCCACAGACACGACCATTGTGATACCCACAGACACGGCAATCGTGATACCCACAGACACGACCACTGTGATACCCACAGACACGGCCATTGTGATAAACTCACCTGTCATCAGCACAGACTTGCTTCTGCACGGCCTCAATCTCAATCTCGATGATGTCATCCGAGCAACGCTTCGTCATGATCCTGGTACAATGAAGACAGACAGTGGCTAATCAAAGTGACTAACCACGTGGTACAATAAAGACAGACAGTGACTAATCAAAGTGACTAACCACGTGGTATAATAAAGACAGACAGTGACTAATCAAAGCGACTAACCACGTGGTACAATAAAGACAGACAGTGGCTAATCAAAGTGACTAACCACGTGGTACAATAAAGACAGACAGTGACTAATCAAACACAACCACGTGGTACAATAAAGACAGACAGTGTCTAATCAAAGTGACTAACCACGTGGTACAATAGACAGACAGTGGCTAATCAAAGTGACTAACCACGTGGTACAATAAAGACAGACAGTGACTAATCAAAGTGACTAACCACGTGGTACAATAAAGACAGACAGTGGCTAATCAAAGTGACTAACCACGTGGTACAATAAAGACAGACAGTGACTAATCAAAGCGACTAACCACGTGGTACAATAAAGACAGACAGTGACTAATCAAAGTGACTAACCACGTGGTACAATAAAGACAGACAGTGACTAATCAAAGTGACTAACCACGTGGTACAATAAAGACAGACAGTGACTAATCAAAGTGACTAACCACGTGGTACAATAAAGACAGACAGTGACTAATCAAAGTGACTAACCACGTGGTACAATAAAGACAGACAGTGACTAATCAAAGTGACTAACCACGTGGTACAATAAAGACAGACAGTGACTAATCAAAGTGACTACCACGTGGTACAATAAAGACAGACAGTGACTAATCAAAGTGACTAACCACGTGGTACAATAAAGACAGACAGTGACTAATCAAAGTGACTAACCACGTGGTACAATAAAGACAGACAGTGACTAATCAAAGTGACCAACCACGTGGTACAATAAAGACAGACAGTGACTAATCAAAGTGACTAACCACGTGGTACAATAAAGACAGACAGTGACTAATCAAAGTGACTAACCACGTGGTACAATAAAGACAGACAGTGACTAATCAAAGTGACTAACCACGTGGTACAATAAAGACAGACAGTGACTAATCAAAGTGACTAACCACGTGGTACAATAAAGACAGACAGTGACTAATCAAAGTGACTACCACGTGGTACAATAAAGATAGTGACTAATCAAAGTGACTAACCACGTGGTACAATAAAGACAGACAGTGACTAATCAAAGTGACTAACTACGTGGTACAATAAAGACAGACAGTGACTAATCAAAGTGACTAACCACGTGGTACAATAAAGACAGACAGTGACTAATCAAAGTGACTACCACGTGGTACAATAAAGACAGACAGTGACTAATCAAAGTGACTAACCACGTGGTACAATAAAGACAGTGACTAATCAAAGTGACTACCACGTGGTACAATAAAGACAGACAGTGACTAACCAAAGTGACTACCACGTGGTACAATAAAGACAGACAGTGACTAATTAAAGTGACTAACCACGTGGTACAATAAAGACAGACAGTGACTAATCAAAGTGACTACCACGTGGTACAATAAAGACAGACAGTGACTAATCAAAGTGACTACCACGTGGTACAATAAAGACAGACAGTGACTAATCAAAGTGACTAACCACGTACGTGGTACAATAAAGACAGACAGTGACTAATCAGTGACCCCTAAATAGTTTAAATGTTAGACAGTGATTAAACGTTACAACTACATAGTTTAAATAAAGTTAGACAGCGATTAAACGTTACAACTACTTAGTTTAAATAAAGTTAGACAGTAACTAAACGTTACAACTACTTAGTTTAAATAAAGTTAGACAGTGATTAAACGTTACAACTACTTAGTTTAAATGTTAGACAGTGATTCAACGTTACAACTATATAGTTTAAATAAAGTTAGACAGTAACTAAACGTTACAACTACTTAGTTTAAATGTTAGACAGTGATTAAACGTTACTACATAGTTTAAGTAAAGTTAGACAGCGATTAAACGTTACTACATAGTTTAAAGTTAAAGTGACTACGTAGTTAGACCGTGACTGACTAACGTGACATAGTTTAAACGTTAGACTATGAATTCTTTAAATTATATAAGTTACATATCTAACTTATATGATTTATGATTCGCCTAACGCAATAGCCGTCACGTACAATTTAACAAATCAAAAACCCTCGCTAACACAGATATAAGACACCACCACGGCACAGAACTGACATTTAAAAGCGTCACCGCTATCAAGAGTTAGCTACTAAAAATTATATGCGATTAAAACGATTATCGAATGCTATCAAATTTAACGATAAACAAACACTCGCCTAGTGTAGGCCTCAGGCCTTAGGCCTCAGGCTCCAACCATCGGAAACCACCACAGCGATAGCGGCGAGAGAATAGCGAATAAAAATTATTCGCTTCGCGCGGAGAGACGTGGCATGGGGGTGTAGGTAAAGAAAGGTTGTTGTTATAAACCCAGCTCGGCGTTAATAAAAAATAAAAATTGTTAAGTTTTTAATTTATTTTTAAATTGGCGGGAAGGAAACTCACGGTGAGGAGGCGGAGATTGGGGCGGGGCGATGGTTCAACTTCCGGCGGATGTGATGTCATTGAGTGGGGGTGGGTGATAGGGGGGGTCTCTATGGGTCACTGTGGGTCACTGTGGGTCTCTATGAGTATGGATGTCTGTGTGTCTCTATGGGTCTCTGTGTGTCTCTATGGGTCTCTACGAGAATGGGTCTCTGTGGGTCTCTGTGTGTCTCTGTAGGTCTCTGTGGGTCTCTATGGGTCTCTGTGTGTCTCTGTGGGTCTCTATGAGTATGGGTCTCTGTGGGTCTCTGTGTGTCTCTGTGGGTCTCTATGGGTCTCTATGAGTCTCTATGTGTCTCTATGGGTCTCTGTGGGTCTCTATGAGTATGGATGTCTGTGGGTCTCTGTGGGTCTCTATGAGTATGGATGTCTGTGGGTCTCTGTGGGTCTCTGTGGGTCTCTGTGGGTCTCTGTGTGTCTCTGTAGGTCTCTGTGGGTCTCTATGGGTCTCTGTGTGTCTCTGTGGGTCTCTATGAGTATGGGTCTCTGTGGGTCTCTGTGTGTCTCTGTGGGTCTCTGTGTTTCTCTATGTGTCTCTGTGTGTCTCTATGGGTCTCTGTGGGTCTCTATGAGTATGGGTGTCTGTGGGTCTCTATGGGTCTCTGTGTGTCTCTATGTGTCTCTGTGTGTCTCTATGTGTCTCTATGGGTCTCTGTGTGTCTCTATGGGTCTCTACGAGAATGGGTCTCTGTGGGTCTCTGTGTGTCTCTGTGGGTCTCTACGAGAATGGGTCTCTGTGGGTCTCTATGTGTCTCTGTGGGTCTCAATGAGTATGGGTCTCTGTGGGTCTCTATGAGTATGGGTCTCTGTGTGTCTCTGTGTGTCTCTGTGGGTCTCTGTGGGTCTCTGTGGGTGTCTATGAGTATGGGTGTCTGTGGGTCTCTGTGTGTCTCTGTGGGTCTCCATGAGTCTGTGTGGGTCTCTGTGGGTCTCTGAGAATGGGTCTCTATGAGTCTCTGTGGGTCTCTATGGGTCTCTGTGGGTCTCTGCGAATGGGTCTCTATGAGTATGGGTCTCTGTGGGTCTCTGTGGGTCTCTATGAGTATGGGTCTCTGTGGGTCTCTGTGGGTCTCTATGAGTCTCTGTGGGTCTCTGCGAATGGGTCTCTATGAGTATGGGTCTCTATGGGTCTCTGTGGGTCTCTATGGGTCTCTGTGGGTCTCTGTGGGTCTCTGTGGGTCTCTGTGGGTCTCTATGAGTCTCTGTGGGTCTCTGCGAATGGGTCTCTATGAGTATGGGTCTCTGTGGGTCTCTGTGGGTCTCTATGAGTCTCTGTGGGTCTCTGCGAATGGGTCTCTATGAGTATGGGTCTCTGTGGGTCTCTGTGGGTCTCTATGGGTCTCTATGGGTCTCTGTGGGTCTCTATGGGTCTCTGTGAGTCTCTGTGGGTCTCTGTGGGTCTCTATGAGTCTCTCTGAGAATGGGTCTCTATGGGTCTCTGTGTGTCTCTGTGTGTCTCTGTGGGTCTCTATGAGTCTCTCTGAGAATGGGTCTCTATGGGTCTCTATGGGTCTCTGTGGGTCTCTGTGGGTCTCTGAGAATGGTTCTCTGTGGGTCTCTGTGGGTCTCTATGAGCATGGGTCTCTATGAGTCTCTGTGGGTCTCTATGTGTCTCTATGTGTCTCTATGAGTCTCTCTGAGAATGGGTCTCTATGGGTCTCTGTGTGTCTCTGTGATGATTTCAGTCACTTACCTGATAGCTGCTCACATACTTTTCTAATGGGTGTGTGGGTGGTGGTGTGTGGGTGGTGTGTGTGGGTGGTGGTGTGTGGGTGGTGGTGTGTGGGTGGTGGTGTGTGGGTGGTGGTGTGTGGGTGGTGGTGTGTGGGTGGTGGTGTGTGGGGGGTGGTGTGTGGGTGGTGGTGTGTGGGTGGTGGTGTGTGGGGGGTGGTGTGTGGGTGGTGGTGTGTGGGTGGTGGTGTGTGTGGGTGGTGGTGTGTGGGTGGTGGTGTGTGGGTGGTGGTGTGTGGGTGGTGGTGTGTGGGTGGTGGTGTGTGGGTGGTGGTGTGTGGGTGGTGGTGTGTGGGTGGTGGTGTGTGGGTGGTGGTGTGTTGGTGGTGGTGTGTGGGTGGTGGTGTGTGGGGGGTGGTGTGTGGGTGGTGGTGTGTGGGTGGTGGTGTGTGGGTGGTGGTGTGTGGGGGGTGGTGTGTGGGTGGTGGTGTGTGGGTGGGGGTGTGTGGGGGGTGGTGTGTGGGTGGTGGTGTGTGGGTGGTGGTGTGTGTGGGTGGTGGTGTGTGGGTGGTGGTGTGTGGGTGGTGGTGTGTGGGTGGTGGGGTGTGGGTGGTGGTGTGTGGGTGGTGGTGTGTGGGTGGTGGTGTGTGGGTGGTGGTGTGTGGGTGGTGGTGTGTGGGTGGTGGTGTGTGGGGGGTGGTGTGTGGGTGGTGGTGTGTGGGTGGTGGTGTGTGGGTGGTGGTGTGTGGGGGGTGGTGTGTGGGGGGTGATGTGTGGGTGGTGGTGTGTGGGGGGTGGTGTGTGGGTGGTGGTGTGTGGGTGGTGGTGTGTGGGGGGTGGTGTGTGGGTGGTGGTGTGTGGGTGGTGGTGGTGTGTGGGTGGTGGTGTGTGTGGGTGGTGGTGTGTGGGTGGTGGTGTGTGGGTGGTGGTGTGTGGGTGGTGGTGTGTGGGTGGTGGTGTGTGGGTGGTGGTGTGTGGGTGGTGGTGTGTGTGGGGTGATGTGTGGGGGGTGGTGTGTGGGGGGTGGTGTGTGGGGGGTGATGTGTGGGTGGTGGTGTGTGGGTGGTGGTGGTGTGTGGGTGGTTGTGGGTGGGTGGTGGTGTGTGGGGTGGTGTGTGGGTGGTGGTGTGTGGGGGGTGGTGTGTGGGTGGTGGTGTGTGTGGGGTGATGTGTGGGGGGTGGTGTGTGGGGGGTGGTGTGTGGGTGGCGGTGTGTGGGTGGTGGTGTGTGGGTGGTGGTGTGTGGGTGGTGGTGTGTGGGGGGTGATGTGTGTGGGGGGTGGTGTGTGTGTGTCAGTGTTTGTGTGTCAGTGTGTGTCTGTGTGTGTCTGTGTGTGGGTGTCAGTGTGTGTGTCAGTGTGTGTGTGTCACTGTGTATGTGTGGGTGGTGGTGGGTGGGTGGTGGTGTGTGGGGGGTGGTGTGTGTGTGTGTGTCAGTGTGTGTGTGTGTCACTGTGTATGTGTGGGTGGTGGTGGGTGGGTGGTGGTGTGTGGGGGGTGGTGTGTGTGTGTGTGTCAGTGTGTGTGTGTGTCACTGTGTATGTGTGGGTGGTGGTGTGTGGGGGGTGGTGTGTGTGTGTCAGTGTGTGTGTGTTTGTGTCAGTGTGTGTGTGTGTGTGTCAGTGTGTGTGTGTGTCAGTGTGCCTCAAATATTGGAAGAATTCACCCCCTGTGAATAGCCGGTTGAGGAGCCATCTGTTGAGGAAGTACTGAAGGCGATCCGGAGTCTGAGACCAGGAAAGGCAGCGGGCAGAGATGATCTCCCAAGCGAAATGCTGAGGGAGGGTGGAGTTTGTGCACAGACTGCCCTATATGACATCATAACAACAGTCTGGACCACTGGACGGGTCCCGCAGGATTGGAAGGATGCCCTGGTGGTCCCCCTTTTTAAGAAGGGGGACCGCACAGACTGTAACAACTACAGGGGCATCTCACTCCTCAGTGTGCCGGGAAAGGTCCTGGCAAGGATTATTCAATATCGCCTTGCCAGGCACGCTGAGGAGAGGCTTGCGGTGCCCCAATGCGGTTTCAGGAAAAGGCGGTCCTGCACAGATGCCATATTTTTCCGTCTGCTACAGCAGAGGTGTAGGGAATTCCAGCAAGACCTACATCTCTGCTTTATTGACCTGGTCAAGGCCTATGATACCATCAGTAGGCCTGGGCTTTGGGTTGTTCTTCGTGCTTTTGGAGTCCCTGACCCTCTGCTCACGATCATTAAGGACCTTCATGATGGTGAGCGGGCCCGGGTAAAACTACGTGGCCGGGAGTCAGAGCCATTCCCTGTACACCTTGGGGTGCGACAGGGATGTCCTCTGGCTCCCACATTATTTAACATCTATTTTGACCACGTTGTTCGTGAATCCTTCAATAGCTGTACCGGGGGAATCTCCATATGTTACAGATATAATGGGAGGCTGATCGATGCCCGGGTGTCCAGTCAAGGGATGGCTCCCTATTGCTCAACCATGTTATGTATGCCGATGATTTGGTAATAGCTGCTCAGTCAGAGGAGGAGTTGGAGACGCTGCTGCTGAGACTGGAGCGTGCCACTAAGAGGTGGGGCCTTACCATCAGCCCCACTAAAACTAAGCACCTGCCTGGGTATTTTGTACCATCGGACACTCCACCCCCACAACTCCCAATCGGTGATGGGGCAGTTGTGGGGAGAGTGGAGCGTTTCCCATGCCTGGGCAGTGTGCTCATGACCAGCTCTGGCTTAACAGCAGAAGTCTCACTCCGAATCAGTCGAGCGGCAATATCTTTTCATCGCTTGCATAACGCTGTGTGGAAGCTACCTGGTCTGTCGCTCCGGACTAAGCTTCAGGTCTTCTCGGCCACGGTCATTCCCTCCCTTCTCTACGCTTGCGAAACGTGGACCCCCCTAATGGAACATCTTCGCCGGTTAGAAACATTTAGGCTGGCCTGCCTACGATCCATCCTGGGTTTAACCTGGAGGCTGGATTGTGTGGGGAGCTCACAAATCCTTGAAAGATCTGGGCAGGGTCCCATCGGTGAGCTCCTCCGGCATGCAAGGCTGCGATGGCTGGGTCATGTAGCCCGCATACCCAGCCACCGCATGCCGAAACAGCTTTTGTTTGGCCGGATTGAGGGGGCTAAGCGGGCGCGGCACGGGCTAGAGAAGAGATGGAGTGACGTGGTACAGGAGGACGTGGAGCTGAGTGGACTTGCCGATGACTGGTACCAGCGGTGTCAAGATCGGCCTCTGTGGAGGAGGCTCGTGAAGGATGCTACTGGGCAGTTGGAGGCAGTCGCCCTCCAAGAACAACGGAGGGCGGAGGAGCGACGCTCACAACAACGAGCGGAGCGCCGGGTGGCTAAAGCACAGCAGATTGGCACAGTAGGGGGCACAGGTGGTGCA